GCCTGATAAATGTTGGTGGTGTTTTAGTAGGTTTTAACTAGAAGCAGGGGCTCCTGAGGGTGCTCAGTCCAAATAGCTGAGTCGCTTGTCCTTCACACACCTCCCTGGGAGACTTCTCAGTAGAAGACTTCAGGAAAGCTCCCTGCTCCTTCCTCACCTGTTGTAGGAGGTATGACAGCTATTCCTGAAGCTTATGAACTCCAGTAAGAATGAAATGATCTATTTGAGGTGTTCTGCCAAACTGGCTCTAAAAATAATTATGATTTAAAATGTCTTTTTTTCACCAGTGAAAATAAATGCTTTAAAACTAAGTTTGTAAAAACAAAACAAAACACTTCCTCCATCTCTGTTGGGTTATACACCCAAAGAAAACAACGCGAACCTGCAATTTTGAGGACAGAATATAAAATGCCTTTTTCCTACTTCTCTGTCCTTTTCTTCTTCCTTCAGTCTTTTCTTTTCCCTTATCATCCCTGCTTTTACTTGCCTAATCCGTTTTGTCTGGGGAGGATGCCTAATACACTGTGTGGTGCTATGGGCTTAGTCCAATGCTTGTCACAGCTCAGCTAGCCTAGCCAAAGGTGCTGGTGGAAGCAAAGGTAAGTTTTCTTTCTTTCACGTCTTCGGTGTCCTTCAAATCTAACACAGTTTGTCGTTTTGAGCATTTATTAACCATATCATTAGATGTATGCATCTTTCACTGCCTTTCTAAGAGGGTAAATTTCATATATTTTCTGCAGTGTAGAAATTTTGGTTCATGTGAAACAGTTTGAAGGGAAATCAAGTTGCTGTTTCATTTCCCTCCTTGAAAAATAGAAAGATGTTCAGGTAAAGCAAAGTGATTATGATACAGATATCACCCCCTCCCTCCCCCACCTCCACCCAAGCAAAAAAGTTTCCAATGGTTCCTCATATACTTTTGGAAACAGAGCTTTGTGGCATATGGAAGGAACTTCTCCCTGCGTATGAGCAAAACCATCTGGTTTAGTTGGTTTGGTTAGGTCCTAGAAATACATTGACAAACACGTGTATATCAGGGGTAACTTGTAGGCTTGCTGCTTATATTGCTCCTGGGGGGAATAACCAATTCACATCATATGAACAGTCTAGTTTTTAAGATAATTGAAATAAGTTAAAATAATTAAAATTCAATGTTCACCTTGTGAAGGTATGTGCCTTTAGTAATGTTCAAATATAGATTTTTAACATACACTCCAATTTCCTGTCTGCCAAAAGAGGGAAAAATCTGGTAATATTTGAGTATCATCTTCCTCCAAGCAATCAGCAATGTGTTATTTCCTAATGTTTCAGTTTGATTTCATTATTGGCTCTGGCTTCTTAAAGAAATAAGGCTTCCATAGGATTACTTTAAAATAGGTGAAGAAAAACAATCTAGTCAGTGTATTTCATCCATGATATCTTGTTCTGTGTCTCCCATTCAACAGAGAATTAGGCCATCTTCTGTGAAACAAAGCCTTACCTCAAAGAAATGGTGCTGAATGTGTTTTCAGTGAGGATAGCCTGTATGAGAATTCGGGTGGTATTACCCAAGGGATTCTTTAAAGGCTCTCTGCTCTATGTTAATAAACAATTCAATACTGTATTTTTACAAAGTTCTGCAGCCCAGAAATCTTTTGTTTCTTTATCCCAGGCGTGGGTTTCATTACCTGGGAAATTCAACTAAGGAGTGTTAGGTAATTTATTAGTATTCTCTACTTAGATCCATCAGTGATAGTGTAAGCTGCCTCAAGAGAATCAAATGATTTTTTTTTGTGATCAATATTTATTACTTAAACTAGGAAAGAGGGGAAAATACATGTTATACATATATCTAATATGTACCCAGTGCAGATCATAATTTTCCTAGTTATTAAAAATACAGGAAAGCTGATGGTTTTGAGATTTCTTAAGTTCCCACTACTTTCATTTTAAATTTCGGTGTTTTCTTCTTCTTGTCTGAACCATCCTTTACTTACGTGAAGAACTCTTTACAGTCATTGTTTCACTGATGCTACTTCACTGGGGTTTTTGCTTAAATGGCCAGAAAATGTCATCCCTAGACTAAATCATCGCGGTTTGAAAACAGAACGGTTTGTATGTTTCCACCTTCAGCTTGGGTCTGCCTTGTGCATTACTTATCAATTCACTTTTATGCCTGGGCTCCTGATGAGGTTTGCTCCTCTTCTCTCTTTGCCTAGATTTCCTGCTGAGTTTAAACATCACTTTTCCTCTAGTAAAATGAGTTGAACTTTTGACTTGATTAAGGATAAATGCCATTGACTCTCCACTTCTAGAGGCCAAGAGTTTTATAAAACCCCACTGGGACTTATTTTATTTATTGTTTGAAAATGAATATCAAATACTATTCCATGCCATTTTAGTGAGATAGGTGTGAATTTTTTCTTCTACTCTAAGAATAATAAGAATTGTTAGTGCTGGAGGTACCAAATGTAACTAAATAGGGCATGAGAAGTTTCAGGGGTTTTTTATACGTTTTTATTCATGGGCCATCACATTCCAAAGTTTCACAGTCAAATGGGCAGTTAAGTATTTCTGTTTAAATCTGACCAAATGTGAATATCTCAAGGATATCATAAGGTGTGATGTATCTCCAAATGTTAGCATCACCGGACTGAGAGAAACCTTGTTTTACATTTCCATAAGTACTGTGACACGAATGAAGCAATGTTCCCAAACTACTATGCTTGTGTTAGTCATTTTCCCCTTACCTCATCCCCAATCATAAAAATTAAGCGATGTACAAAAATTGCCTACAGAACAGATGCCACCTTATTGAAGATGTTTTAAATAGCCCGTACTTGTAGCAGTTCTGCCTTCATAGCTAATATTCTCCATTTCTTTCTTTACTTCTTTCTTTCTTATTGAAGCATTTGCATGTAGAATAAAGAGGATAAAAACATAAAAAAAAACAAAGACAGATTTGTTTTTTCTGAGAACATCTGTTCGTGGTGTAAAGTATCCACATGACGTGGTCCACTTTCTTTCAATGCCCTCACTGTTTGTTGTTGTGAAGGCAACTGTTGGGTCAGTCTTAGGCCTGAACTTAATAAGATAATAAGTAGTGGCGTCTAATGAGTTGAAACTGTAGGGAAACTCTGTTATAATACATACATTTTATGTAATATTGGACAAAGATAAGAGAAGCTGAGATTGAAAATAAGACAGTTAATTGTAGAATTATTTTATTCCTCAGGTTAATTGTTCTCATGGCATCACTACCTAATTTTCAGTGCATTTTGGCCTTTAGGTTTCCTTACTAAATGTTCAAGATTCTTGTCAATTTGGGTTGCATTTGGGCATTGGGTACATTCTTTAAATTATTAAATATAAGTTTTTGCTGTGCACATCGTAAATAAAATAAACATTTTCACTTTGAAAATCTGTTTATTAGTCAAGAGGATAATTCCTCTAAACTCGAACTACTACCATAACTCATACAACCAGCAGGAAATAGAAATACTAATTACTCAAAATTAAAAGGTGTAGTTTGAAATTACCTGGAGATTTACATTTCCCCATATAAAATATCTTCAGTCTTGGATGTGGAGGAGGTAAGAGAGTGGCTAGTGACAGTTACGTGATAAAGCTTTCAAAACTGTTTAGATAAAAATATATTGACCCTAATTGATGGTTACCATAGAAACAGACCTATGTAGACATGGATGATTTAAGCACTCATTAAAGCCCCTATGCCCTTGGTCCTGTGCTCAGCATATGTTGGAGCCAAGTATATGGTTTTCCTAACTATTTCACATGCATAATATCCATAGGGATATATTAGCCACTTGTATGTTGTATCATTTTTTTCCTAGTCTTTTTCAGAAATGAAGCTTTTCACATATAGATTGACTAATCCAAAAATATTTAATCAGCATCTTTCTTCATGAGCTCAGCTATCCTCCTAGAAAGAGCAAACTTCGCCCATCTTCTTCCATGCAATCTTCTTTGTCTTTTAAATTTGCATTTCAGATCAATAATGATACATGTCCTAAGATAATGTGACATTTTCTCCCTTTATTTACTGGATTGGTTTAATGCCTCCGTGTATCTCTATCTTGCCATCGTTTACCCCTAAGTACAATTCCTGTTATCCTGATTCTTTATAGAGTTCACTTGACCTTTAGTTTGAGAACCTGGAGGATGGATCTCTGAGACAACTTGGTTTAGTCCTCTAGTTAGTGGCACTTTCTATGAATCGTGTTTTTGTCCTAAAAACTTCTGAGTTTGGAACTTTCCATCATTTCCATTTTTAAGTCTTTGGATCCTTTTGGAGGATGATGAACAATGGGAAATTGATGAACAATGGGAAATTGATGAACGATGGGAAAATGATGAACAGTGGGCAAAGTCTGGGAGCCCGCACATTCCCTTCAGGAGCATTATTTATGATGGGGTTTAGAACGTGACATTATTATTGTTGTAGTGCTTACTACTGTGATTTCTGTGGTTGTGACTTCTCATAGGACCCTGTGTTAATGGAAATGTCAAGTTCAGGCAGTATGTGTTGCACAGTTCTTTCTCATCCTATTGGTGGATACTCTCTAAAAGCCAGACTGGTGTATAATGCCTAAATGGCCAAATTATTCTAAAGGAAAAAAAAAAATCATGGTACATTTCCTATGTCTTCAAGAAATTCATGTGAATTTGAAGACTTTGAGAGATGAATGACCGCTAACTATAGCTTCCTGTAAATGATTGCTTCCTGCCATTGGCATTTGAAATCCTTATATGTAAGATAAAGGAAGGCACTTCTTTCTATTATTACTGTGTCATTATCCTTTATGTTTGAATTGAGACTTTTGCATTTGGAGACTCCTATAGAGAATCCCATTGGCTCAGTAAAATTAGACTTGACTTTGGGTAGAAGATAATTCCTTGAATGCTGCTAGGCCATGTGCACCAGTGTGGTTTTGACAGCCTGATTATTGAGCGCTACTTTGAGAATTGATTCTAACTTTGGCACTTACTACCACCCTTAGGCAAAGGACCAGAGACCCTGTATGCAGGGCAGAAGCTCAATGACAATGAGTGGCACACCGTTCGGGTGGTGCGGAGAGGAAAAAGCCTTAAGTTAACCGTGGATGACGATGTGGCTGAGGGTGAGTATAATTCTAGTGAAATTCGCCTCTCTTTTCTCTCATAGTCCTCTGTCATTCAATGAACAAACTGTTTTGCAGAACTGTTTATTTTGCATAGTATAAGTCACAAATCATGTTTTCTGTTGACAAACTCAAGCAAGGCTAAGGTCTTCCTCTGTATTTTACAATCCCTTTCATCAATGTGTATTATGGAAATTACCTACTAACTATAACCACATATTTATGGGTCTCTCTCCTTAGGCGTAGAGTATGTGTCTGGAGAACAGACGTAGGGCTCTACAGATCCTTTTATTATTCAATCATTCAAAAATCAGTTGTCAATCATCCTCCCATATGCCAGTTCCTTCCATCAGTGAGTGAATCACTCTCTAGTAAAAGAGATGGACAAACCAGAAATTCAGAACATTACAGGTAGTAAGTACTAAAACAGTGCACTTCTAGGCAGTACTTAGAAGGTACTAAATAAGGTTTGGTTTAATTAATTACTTCTTTAATCATTATTAATTGAGTTTTCTGTACCACACACTATTTTAGAAGGCACCGAGACTACAATGGTGAACAAACAAGAACATTTTTGGCCTGGTGGAAGTTACGTTTAGAAGGGTGAAGAGTGAATTAATGAATCCATTCATTTAAGAAACATTCAGAGCTCCACACAATCAATAAGTATTTCCTAAGAGTCTATTCTGTGTTAGCAGCATGCTAGAATTGTGGAAGCTAAAATGGGAAAAGATGAGGCTGCCTGTTTCCTCAAATAATGAACCAATCAAGCAGATTAGCTAGGACTCTGGTATTTGGAAATAGGATAAAAATACAGAAGGAGATTCTAATTTTGGTGGGTGAGATTATAATTTGTTAATGAGAAGAATTACCCATTTGGGCCGGAGAAATCGGGGGTGGCTTGTAAAGCTGCATCTTCAGCCTGACTTTGAAGGTGGACGTAATTGATGGAGGCTGAGGTACAAGAGAGAGGGTGTCATCAAGTACCATTGTCTATGCTGTCGCTTATAAGTCTGCCCTTTCTGATGTTCTAGAGCAGGACCCATCTATGAAGCAGAATTCTTCTCCATATGGGAAAGACTTGAGGCAGTGTGGGGTATTACATGCAACACTGTTGGCATCAGACCTGGTAACTTGCAGGATGTTAGGAAAGCGAACATTCCTGGGCCTTGTCAAATGCAGTCAGTGGCCTAAGCCATCTCTGTCCTTTCTTCTGTGAATAAGACAGTCAGGAGCCCTGGGGTCTAATGCAATCACTACCCCTAAAATGCCTTATGCCTTTGGGATAGATATACTAAACCTCTTTTTCTTAATTTCTTCATTTTAAAAATTGAAATTCTATTATTTCTCTGGCCTTTTCCAGCATCAATGTTGTGGAATTTGGGGTACTATAATTTAATTTTATATTTGTGAGTCTGAATTTCTGTACTTCTGGAATCAGGAAATACAGTAAGATATATACGGGCATATGCAGTTGTGTGTGTGTGTGTGTGTGTGTGCACGCACGTGTGTGTGTAGGCAAGGAAAGCCTGTGGATTAAAGAAGAGCACCTAGGCACATATTTAGTGCCCAGTAGTATTAGAAACTGTTAGCTGTGTTAAGCATATCAGCTCCTTTAATCTTCTATCATTCACTGTACCCTTTAAAAGTAAGTGTTCTTGATGTCATTTTACAGAAAGAAAGCATGAAACTTTGAGGTAGTTGTATAATTAAGCTACAGACCCATGCCAGTGTAATTCCACAAGATCATTCTGCTTGGTGTACTTCAAAATCCATCACAAGAAAATAATTTATCTCACAGTATGGAAAAAATCTAATGGAATGGATTAGAGTGAGGTAGGGAATGCATTAGCTTATGAACGTCTCCTAAGAAACTTACAGGAGGTAGATGACAACACTCGACCTCTCCCTCCCAAAAACAAAGACAAGCAGAACCACCACAACACTTATCCAAAACACTTGGATCACACACAGACATAACTTAGAAGTGGGAGGTGAAGTTACAGGTCTACATGCCTGAAGAGTAAATTCGCGTTCTGAAATGAACATTTTAAAAGAGATGTACAAATGCTTACACTATGTAGAGCCCACAGCCAATAGGAATTCATTATTCAAGAACTGTATGAACTGTTGGTGCATCCGGAGCCTGCAAAGGCCCTGATGATAAGTCACACATCTCTTTCACATTCCTCTGGGCTTGTCTCTGAAGGGTGGTGGGATCCACAGCCTCTTCTGAAAAGCAGCCACTAGATGGCGACATCACCCTGACTCTCCTCACAGTGAGTTCCTTTCATTTTCCCTGGAAAATAAATGCTCCAGAAGTTTAGCACTTTGGGAGGCCGAGGCAGGTGGATCACGAAGTCAAGAGATCGAGACCATCCTGGTCAAACGGTGAAACCCCGTCTCTACTAAAAATACAAAAAATTAGCTGGGCATGGTGGCGTGTGCCTGTAATCCCAGCTACTCAGGAGGCTGAGGCGGGAGAATTGCCTGAACCCAGGAGGCGGAGGTTGCAGTGAGCCGAGATCGCGCCATTGCACTCCAGCCTGGGTAACAAGAGCGAAACTCCGTCTCAAAAAAAAAAAAAAAAGAATTACAGAGCTGAGGGTACTATAATGTGTATTCCCTCTCTCAGTCATTATTCCTCTATGAAAATTTTGGAATGAAGGTATTTGTAAATTGCACTTTCTTTTACCGCTAATAATTAAAAAGCAAGTCTAAGTAACGAAATGCCCGTACCCTGTAATTTGATTTTTTGAAATTAATGAAGCTCTTTCATTTTCAGACGTGCCCCCTCACTCCCCCGAACTTCACTACTGATGGAATAAAGCAGCCAGAAGGACAAAGAAATTTGGGAGAGGATAAGAGCTGTTTTGCTTATAAGCTACAGTCTTGGATTGCTTTTTATAGTGATAAGGGGTTGGGAAATTTTAATTTTAGTTCATAGAAGTCATAAAATCAGGCAATGAAACGAAAATACCCACAGTCCTCAAGTTACTAAGAAGTGTCTCATTGACTTATTTAGTAATCCCTTTAATGTTCTTAAAAGTCCCCCAGTGTGTCCAATTTTCAGCTATTTTATAGAAATGATGCAGAGAATAAGTCCGACTCACAAGAAATCAAAAGCAACGTTAAAATATTCCACAACCTGGTGTCTATCATTTATTGTAATGTGGCTGTATTATTTATTTGAAAAGCATTAAGTTCGGTTGACAATCAATAAGAATTGATTGAGCTATGTTTCTATTATTAAAAATATATTACTAGACCAAGTATAACTTGAGTTATACTCTTCAGTATTGGAGCCTAATGCTACATGAACTGCCTCCTTTACCTAGAACTTCTTGCTAGTACATAAATTTATCCTTGCTAGTAGAAAAATGTGACTATCCTGGTTCATACTGACTTTTCTTGTCCTTATCTACGTAGTATATATAACACCAAGCTGTAAAAAGTCATTTTTCAAAATTAAAATTTATCATAGTAATTTAAAAAACTTGATAGGATTGAGGAATGTTAGGTCAAACAAAATGAAACGGAGTACTTTACCGCAAGGCTTATTAGGAGACTTTAATAAGCTAATGTACATTGTAAATCATTGATAAGTATTTGCTATTTTTTTTGGTTCTAGAAACTTTTTAATAAGGCATTTTATACCACACACTTATACACTTTTTTAAAAATGCTGATATTATGGAGAAATGGATGTGGGACCAGTAGAGCTAGGGAATTATGGGTAAAATATGAAGATTCTTTTTTTTTTTTTTTGTGAGACAGAGTTTCGCTGTTGTTACCCAGACTGGAGTGCAATGGCACGATCTCGGCTCACTGCAACCTCCGCCTTCTGGGTTCAAGCAATTCTCCTGCCTCAGCCTCCTGAGTAGCTGGGATTACAGGCACGCACCACCATGCCCAGCTAATTTTTGTATTTTTAGTAGAGACAGGGTTTCACCTTGTTGACCAGGATGGTCTCGATCTGTTGACCTTGTGATCCACCCGTCTCGGCCTCCCAAAGTGCTGGGATTATAGGTGTGAGCCACCGCGCCTGGCCTGAAGATTCTTTACTGGTACTCTGTAAGTCTTCATTTTCTTAACTTCTCTCCCCAAGTCTAAGAGCCATGAAAGATCCATTTGCTTCCTTTCAGCTTTTCCCATTATTATTCTTTTTGCTGAGCTCAGTTTTGGCCAGGAACCTTATATGTAGAAATGATGAGGACCCAAGCCTTGACCCCAAAGCAAATGTCTCAAATACAAGGCCCTCCCCTCAAAGTGAGGAATGCTGGCTATGCTCAGACCCCTCTGGTAGCCACTGTGGGACATGTAGAAGACACAAGAGGTGACCTCTACTTAAAACAGAGCTCACATTTTTATGGATCACAAGGACAGGCGATCAAGACCATCCTGGCTAATATGGTGAAACCTCGTCTCTACTAAAAAAAAAAAAAAAAAAATACAAAAATTAGCCGGGTATGGTGGCACGTGCCTGTAGTCTCAGCTACTTGGGAGGCTGAGGCAAGAGAATTGCTTGAACCTGGGAGGAGGAGGTTGCAGTGAGCTGAGATCACACTACCGCACTCCACCCTGGGTGACAGAGTGAGACTCTGTCTCAAGAAAAAAAAAAAAAAAAAAAAAGGCCACATTCTCACACACAAAAGAAAAACAATAAGTGAAATGACCAGAACATGATTCAGTCATTTCAGAAGAAAGGAGGGAGATGAATGCATCATAATTAGTAATGGCGCACAGTTGAAGTCATGGGGACTCTTAAAGTACTTGACATGTGTTGATACATTTAACCCTGCTAACATCATACCTGTTTACAGATGGGAATCTGAGGCATAGAAAAAGCCAATAACTCCTTGAAGGTAACCCAGTGAAGAAGTCTTGGAGGCAGAATGCAAAGTCAGGCAGTACAGCCCTGGACTCTCCGTTCTCATCCACTAGATGCTATTGCTGCATAGGAATAGGAAGTTACAGCTTGAACCTGGCCAGAATTTTCCATGAGTACATGTCCTTCATCACTCTGAGAGCTGGTGTGTTGACTGCCATCAGTGAAATATAGAAATGAATGTGTGACGAGGAGTCGAGGCAACAGAGCTGCTTTAGGGAAAGTGCTGAATATATTACCCATCAATTGGATGGAATGACGTTCTGATACTGGGCCATAGGGAAGAAGTGCAAACTCCTTTCAACAGCTTCTGCATGGAAATTTCACCAGTTAAATTCTACCTACTGCTTTTCTTGGGCAGTGATGTGAGGAATAAGTCAAACCTTTTTTCCAAAGACAGTTTATTGTACTAGTAAAGATATGGGCTTTGGAATTAGCACACCTGAGTTCAGTGTAGGGGTCTACCATTTACCACCTGTATGAATCTTGATCAAACTGCTTAACCTCTGCAAGCTAAATGTCCTAACCTCTAAAGCAAAAGAAAGATACTGAACTACAGTTTTATTGTGATAATGACATTTCATAGGGATTATGCAGTATTTAGGACAGTGCCTAAATTTTCAGTATTCTTGGTTTTGCCTTGTTATCTTTTTCCCCAGTTACTTCTCTTTCCTCTGAAGTTTGAAAGAAACTTATGTGAGGTATGAATATATTTGCCTCTTAAACGGAAAAGAGGTTCAGTTTGTAGACAGCATTCAGAGGAATGAGTGAAAGGTTCCCATCACTACTATTGAACAAATGACACACAGATTTAAAAAATAGTTATTTGGTTAGTTTGGCACTGGTTTCAAACTTTCACCAATCTTTCATGCTTTTCCCAGGTGCAATAATATACTCTTTTTTTTTTTTTTTTTTTTAGGTCTCCATCCACAGAGGAGTAAGTTCTTTTAGCTCACAGGGAGGCCAATTCCTTTTCTTCTCTTTTTTGTTTGTTGAGATGGAGTCTTGCTCTGTCACCCAGGCTGGAGTACAGTGGCGTAATCTCAGCTCACTGCAACCTCCGTCTCCAGGGTTCAAGCAATTCTCCTGCCTCACCCTCCTGAGTAGCTGGGACTACAGGCATGTGCCACCATGCCTGGCTAATTTTTCGTATTCTTAGTAGAGATGAGTTTCACCATGTTAGTTAGTATGCTCTCGATCTCCTGACCTCATGATCCCCCTGCCTCAGCCCCTCAAGCCAGTTCCTTTTCTGATTGGATCCCACATGGCCTTCTTTCCTTCCCGTCACCAACTTTTAGCTGAGGCTTCTATGTGAGTCACCTTGAATTCTCAGTTTGTGTTCCTGGGCTAAGCTCTTAAATTCCATCATTAACTTCGCTTCTTGTACTTATCCACGTCCATGCTCAGTATCTCTGCTATCTCAATCAATACCTTTTTTTTTTTTTTTTTTGCTGTAAAAAATTGAGTTTCTAATGAGCAGAATTTCTTAACCCCTCAATCCTGGTGGTCACTTCATCCAAAACTTCTCTGAAAGCTCCCACTTAACTTTAAAATTGTCTCTTCAGATTCCTTTTGGAACCCCAGTCTTCACCAGAGATTCCCCATTCTCGCTTCTTAGCTCTCACCTTAGATTGTTTTCTTTGTAAAATAAGAATTAGCATGACTAGCAGCAGCATCATAGTTCAGTTTCTCTGTTTCCATGGAAACTGACTATGACTCCCCCTCCCCATCATTTTCCAGTCCAGCTCCCCTTCCTGGTAGGAGTAGCTATATCAGATTTGACATTGGATGCTGCTTTCAGTCGCTTCATTATTTTAGAGCATGCAAATTTGAGGGCTGAATTTTTATGTTGCTTTTTATTTTCACAACCAGTATGATATTTACCACGAAGTAATTTTATTTCCTAGTTAATTGTTAGCAGATTTATGTTGCCTTTTGATTTTTATATTTAAGTTAACAACATATTTTTTCTTATATTAAGAGAGTGATTTGTCATTAGTTGTCAAAACATCACATAGAGGCTCATAACATGTAAGTCTGATTCTTGTACTTATAGGGAATATGAGAAATTTTTATTGTTTTAGAGACAGCGTCTGACTCTTACCTAGGCTGGAGTACAGCCTCAAACTCCTGGGCTCCAGTGATCCGCCTACCGTAGCCTCCTGAGTAGCTAGGTAGCTAGCACTATAGGTATACATCTTCATGTTTGGCTAATAATATTTTTTAAATTTTTGTAGAGACTGGGTCTTGCTATGGTACCCAGGCTGGTCTTGAACACATAGCCTCAAACAATCTTTCTGTCTTGACCCCAAAATGCTGGGATTACAGGCATGAGCCACTGTCCCCAGCCCATTCTTTAAATTAGGTCTGAGTTTGTTCCCAAAGAGATAAAATCAATATTAAGCACTTAAGGGTGTGATCTGGTTTAGTCTCCAAGATATTCAAGTTTAAGAGACCTAAGAAAATGCAACCCTCCCTTTTTTTGTCACTGAAATTCTGAGCCAGTAGAGAAAAAGTTGCAATGCAGATGAAAGGCAAATATCTTTTTTATTAGCAATAACACATATTTAATATTGCTTTTACCTACTGAACTTCAGAATTAGAATTGCCCACTTCAACAGTAGTTCAGAACTGGGGCAGGCATCCTTCATGGAAGTAAGGCTTGCTCCTGTAACACCCATTCTGTGAATACATGCAGTAGATGGATGTTTCTGAAGCCGGCTTGCTCCAGCAAAGAGGATCAGGAGGTGTCAGGGGCTGAGCTAAGCACACACAGCTTCTCTTTGTAGATTATCTTAATATTTCTGATTATGTCATTTCTTCAGGAAAGTTGCTAAAGAGGAAATAAAGAGATGCTATCAGTGTCTTGCTAGTGGAGTTTCTTCAATGTAGAAAGTAACAATGAAGGAAAGGAAGAATTCCCCCTCCCTTCCTTCTAATGCTTGGCAGTAGAACATGGTTTGTTCTGTTTAAAATAATTTTTTATATCAGTGTTGAGGAAGCCAGTTTCTACTCTGGCTACATTAATGATGTTTTTCTTTATTTTGCTATCAAAATTTCCAGTCTCTTTTATTTATTTCAAGCCCTCCTTATCCCCTCTGCCCTGGTCACTCACCACTTCTAGGGAAAATCAGTAATGAAATTTGTAAATAGTTTGTTTGTATCGGCTAAAGATATTTCCATTGTAAATGTCAGAAACCCAACTCAGCTGCTTAAAGCATGAAAGGGTGTCTATTGCCACACAGTTTGAAAAAGCCCAGAGATGCCTGGCTGGATACAGAGCCTCAAAAGACAGAACAAATATTATTTGTGCTGAGTCTTTTCATGTTGTAATTGTCTCTGGGTTGTTACAGAGCCTCAAAAGACAGAACAAATATTATTTGTGCTGAGTCTCTTCATGTTGTAATTGTCTCTGGGTTGCTAGTCCTCTGATCCCTCTGATTATCTCACAGCCTCCAGGAACTCCAAGCTTTCTTCTTACCCCTCCAGCTATCCTTGCTTGCAAAGAATGCCTCTTTCCTAAATGTACCAGCAAGAGCCCTGGAGCTGAGTGTGGCTGGACTGGCTTGGGCTGTTGCCAGTTTTAAAGGTGGTCCCTAAATCAGCCACAAGAGAATCACTTTGGAACTTGTTAGAAATGCAGATTCTCAGGCCTCATCCCAGACTTTTGAACTCTAAACTCTGAGGGCCTAACCCTTCCAGGTGGTTCTGATGCACCCTGACGTTTAATAACCACTTTTTAAGTCTGTAGTCCAAAGTCTTTGACAGTTAGGGGGATAAAATACATTGAGTGGTCCAGACTGAGCAGCTTGATTAGGGTCAACTTTATCTAGTCCAGGTGGTTGAAAGGTCAAGAGAGGTGGGTAGCTTCCAAAAAAAAATTACGTGTTATTATAAAATAAAGTAACGGTCGCTGGGCAGGTAAAGTCAACTGATCCTCTGCAATAGAACCATTCCCACAAGTACTAAGTGGTGAGTTATTGTGAGAAGAAATATTTGGTAGTGAATGCCCAGGACTTGTTTGTTGTGTCTTTACAAGGGTCAGAGCAACAAAGACGTTTCTTCTTATAGAATGTATTACTGTCCAATTATTTTCCTGAATGGAGAATACCAATGGTTTTATCTTTTAGCCTGAGTTACCCATGACCTCACATTTCCCCTTATATCATGAGCCATGCTGAGCAGCTGTGTGAGAGCGTGGGATTCAGGACATATAATTTGAGCAAGGCTAGTCCTCAGTGCCCTGACTGAGGTCAAGTAAGGTGTCTACCATATTAAATATTTGGTTTTCTGGAACTCACCCAGGAAAACTGAATATTCTGTGTGGAAACAAGTTATACCCCCAAAATATACTTAGGGGTACTGTGATAAATAATGGTAACTTTTCCGGTTTGCACCTTATTTGCAATGTTCACAGGTACAATGGTGGGAGACCATACCCGTTTGGAGTTCCACAACATTGAAACGGGAATCATGACTGAAAAACGTTACATCTCCGTCGTCCCCTCCAGCTTTATTGGCCATCTGCAGAGCCTCATGTTTAATGGCCTTCTCTACATTGACTTGTGCAAAAATGGTGACATTGATTATTGTGAGCTGAAGGCTCGTTTTGGATTGAGGAACATCATCGCTGACCCTGTCACCTTCAAGACCAAGAGCAGCTACCTGAGCCTTGCCACGCTCCAGGCTTATACCTCCATGCACCTCTTCTTCCAGTTCAAGACCACCTCACCAGATGGCTTCATTCTCTTCAATAGTGGTGACGGCAATGACTTCATTGCCGTTGAGCTTGTCAAGGGGTAAGAGAAGGGATCACAACTTACGTTGGATATCTTCAGTGTGCTGAAGCTCTATGTAACATATGGACATAAAAATAAATGGTCTATTCTACTCCCTACCCTCCATTCCTGACACATTCTAGTGTCCTCCTTGATTAAATAGATCCATAAAATTATTAGGTCTGAAAAGGAGAGAGGCTCATGATTTAATTTAAAGGTCTTCCATTAACTCAACAATAGCAGACTTTTTACTATGAAATGTAGCCCTTTAAAAACTATAGAAGAAAAGCTTATTTTTGCAAAAGAAGGTGGTTTGTGTTGCATCTAATTCTCGAGTATTACTAACTACAACCACTCAATTTATACCAAAAAACGAAACATAGATATTTTTAATCCTACCGTTAGCCCATATATGCAAGTTTTAGGAGCTACCCTTTCTTCAAGACATTTTACTATCATGTATTGGAAAATGGTCAAAACGGAAAACCAAAACCCAAACAGACTCATGGTTGACTGTGAATTTAAAAGTCGCCGCTAGAGTTTTATAGTGTACAGCCTGTGCTACTTTGATTCTGGAGAGTATTGCTAGGTAGTGTTATGGACTCAAGTATGGAATTAAAGTGAAGCCTGATGGAATAAAATCTGACTATTCTTGTAACCTTATATCCAGATTTAAATTATGTCTGCATGATGCCAGTCTAGCATGAGGGATTTGAAGCCCCCTGTGTCAATTACACACACATAGCCATGAAGCCACTTCAGGGAGTTTCCAACGGTTGGGTGTGGTTTTTTCTTCTTTTTCTCCTAGGTACATACACTATGTTTTTGACCTCGGAAATGGTCCCAATGTGATCAAGGGCAACAGTGACCGGCCCCTGAATGACAACCAGTGGCACAATGTTGTCATCACTCGGGACAACAGTAACACTCACAGCCTCAAAGTGGACACCAGAGTGGTCACTCAGGTTATCAATGGCGCCAAAAACCTGGATTTGAAAGGTAAACCTTACAAAGAAGTTTATTTTTTAATAGAGCTTTTCTTACAATAGATAGACTGTTTCCAGAGGCAAACCACAGGTTCAGAGTGCCATGCATTTTTGATGCATCATGCATATCCTGTTTTAACAATGTTGAGTTATCCTGTAATGTAATTTGTTCCGTTTTTACTTAGACAACCCATCAAAGAGTGGTTCATTTTCTCTGATAACTTCGGGAATGTCGTGATGCGGGGGCTGAGTGATGACACGATAAATGTCAAAATGTGGGAGGGGCTGTGATACAGAGGAAGGAATGTAGGCTTTGGAATTTCAACTGAATCATTTAATGTCTGGTGTCATTGCTAAAATGTCTTAGCCTTGTTCAGCTTATATTTACTTTTTTTTGCAAAGTAGTAATTGTTAGTTTGAGTATGGGTTGAGGGTAATAATTGTTAGTTTCTGTATGGGTTGTTAGAGGCTTTGATGGAATGTCTGTAAAACCCTCAGCGTGTTCTTGGCAACAGGCACATAAAAAGCACTCAATAAATGCTTGCTTTGTTGGCAATATTGTGAATCTTTACTCCATCTATAATGATTAAATTTTGATGATGATGGATATATAATGAATAGCACATAAGAAATATTGGTCTCATTTTTTTGCAGGATAGAAGCTCTGGTGCTTATATATGTTGTTCCCCACCCCCCGCCAGCCTCAGCTACTTTATCCCTTATCTGACGAATTATCTGAAGTGTATCAGCTCTAGTTGACACAGTCACCACATCCTTTACTCATTCTCTTTTGCTTCTTACTTTCCTTTCCAGGTGATCTCTACATGGCTGGTCTGGCTCAAGGCATGTACAGTAATCTCCCAAAGCTTGTGGCCTCTCGAGATGGCTTTCAGGGCTGTCTGGCATCAGTGGACTTGAATGGACGCCTGCCAGACCTCATCAATGACGCTCTTCATCGGAGTGGGCAGATCGAGCGTGGCTGTGAAGGTACAACCTATTTTTCCTCTCGTTAAGCTACAGCCTTGTTGCAAGAACCCAGCCTCTTTGCTGCCTCTGCCAGTGCCTCCTTCCTCAGTTGACCAGTCGTGTCTCATTCTCATTTTCCACATGGCATTGCATCACATTGGTGTCCTCTTGTCACTGGTTTAGTATGTCGAGACGTGTGCCGCAGGCTCCAGGAATGCATGTTGGCAGATATTTTCTGAGTATCACATACTTGCCGATTAAAAAACAAAACCAGCTTCCCTGGCATTGACATCAGGCTTCTTCCAATGTGTACCTTGGCTTCCAGAATGGCTGAAAGGGCACTGGAGACTTTTATTTGCACTTTGATACATGATGAGGGGAAAACCAGAGATTTTATGTAGATGTCACTGTTAATAAAATGTTTCTTATTTTGTCTGATAGTGACTGCATTATTTGATGAAAATCTAGCAGGTGATAGGAAAACGATGTCCAAATGCCATGATGATGGAAGGGAGCTAACATTTATTAAGTACTTATGAGATAGCAGGCATTGTCAGGCAGTTTTTTAGTGTGGTATAATGGAACATTGTGGATTTCTGAATCCAGAAAGACCTGGATTCAGCCCCAGGTAGTAGCTCTTGTTAGCTATGTGACATTTGGAAGGTGATATAACCTCTCTAAGCTATATCTTCCTTACCTGTAGCTATATCCAGGGCAATAAAACTTACCTTGGATATAAGGAAATCAGAAATACACATAAAATGCCTGATACGTAGTAGGTACTTGATAAATGGTAGGATGATTGTTAAAAATATTATTTTATGTAAGACATCTAGTAATACTGCATGCCTACCCATGCAGCACAACAAACCATGCTCAGCCTGTTCCTGTAGATGATCCACTGTCTCTTGAGATGTTAAATGAAGTTTACAGGTCTTCCTGAATCTAACAATTCTTTGCAATGCAAACAATCTAGTTTTAACCAGCAGATGGCAGCAGTGAACACATTCAGCCTTCCCTAGTAGCCTTGGGTTGGCTGAAAAGGTGACTCTTACCTAACTTGAAAAGCAAATTCACCTGACCAAGGATCTATGTAATTATTTTCTCTCGTTTTTTTTTTTTTTTTTGTTGTTGTTGTTGTTGTTGAGCCTTTTGGTTGAGCCTTATGGTTCTTTGTTTGTGCAATATATTGTGTTTTCTTGTATCAGTTGTTAATTTACCACATCAAATCTATTCATTCGTCTTCTGTGTTCAACTTCATGTATCGCTTCTGCTCTTAAACGGCTTCCATCTGGGTTCACTGGCCGTTGTAAAGCACACCATTATAAAAGCTTCCCATCAGCTTATCAGGCTGAGTTGGAGTTATGGAAATTGTTCCCCTTTGCCTAAGAGTTAGTTTTATATTTTACACTAGTAATAGGAATGTTCATTCCTATAACCCACTCCATTTTTCCCTTATCCAGAAATATTTCTTAAATTTTCTTGGCCACATATGGTATGTGTAGTATGTAGTGTGTGTGTGTGTGTGTGTGAATGTATGAAGGAACAGGAGGTTGGGAATCACTAAGCCCCTAAAGTAGCCACTTGCTCCTAGAAATGAACAATTTCATTTAATCAGGAATTTTTGTCTCTTTGGCTTGCTTTTAGTTCTTTCATGTATTAGAAGGCAACCCTGGGATAGGTGTGGCATTTGGAATTAAACTGAATACATTAGGTTAGAAGACTGTGGAATGGTAGTAATTCCAGTTATCTTGGAATAATTAATCACATGAAGTTAAATCACAATATAAGAACACATATTAAGAAGCATAAGATACTGGTCAAATGTTACATAGTTTTAAATCATGCTATTAGTTCCTCATATTTAAAAGTTAATAGGAATCATCCGTTTAACTCTATAGTAATGTTGCCCAATAGATACATGTTGTAACACATGTAATTATAAATTTCCTAGTAGCTACCTTTTAAAAAAAGTATAAAGTAATAGGCCAAATTTCTTTTAATTTTGTATTTTATTCAACTTAACTACGTAGATCTAAAATATTATCATTTCAGAATGTAATTGAGATAAAATTGCCAATATGTTACACTTTTCTCATATTAAGACTCTAGACTTGAGTGTGCATTTTATGCTTGCGGCACACCTCAACTCAGGCTACATGCATTTAAAGTACTTAGTACGCACATCAATGGCCACTGTGTTGGTAGCAAAGGTATATAGAAAAGAAACATAAGGTGTAAAGACATAAAGCTACAATACCGGATTAAAAGGAGGTCTAAACTAAGCTTTATAAAAGTGTACTAGAATGTATAATACAGAGGGGGAATGACCTCACTTAAGAGATTTTGAAGAGAAGTAGTAAGAGCATCAGCAAAAAGGAATTACATAACGCATTGGGGAAAATGCCCCTCTCCCTACCTACAGCTCTGTATGCAGTTTGGCATTGCTCATCACGTGCATTACAGAGGGTTCTGACCTTCCTCTGAGTGTGGTTGATTGTTCAAAGCCGGATATTATGGCTTGATGGCTCTACCATCTGAATCTATGGTGAGTCCCATGGGCCTAATAGCACTGCACTCTATTGCCATGGAGATAATTACAATGGTTACCCACTGAGCATTATTATGTCTACCCCCCGCCCCATGCTGGGTGGGATAAAGTAGAGGGTGAGTGCTGAGGGAAGAAAGTCCTTGTTGATTGTACACAAATGACTTGGATAATTAGCCTAAGTGGCCAGGAAAAATGGCCAAAAGTGGGTTCCAGCATAAATTACCGTCATTGGAAGTTCGTGCCACTGTGAATAAGCCCTTGTAGGAGATCCCAGGAGCATTTTAGGGTTCTGTGTAAGATGGTGGGAAGGTAAAGGGAGAGCACAAAACCTTGGAGATACTGCAAAAAGGCATTTTTATGCTGAATCTCTTGTGTAGAGCATGAGAGCCTCAAGAAGGCCTTTGAGCATTAGGTAGTATGAGGACCACAGAAAACAGAACACATTTCTTAATGTATCATTTCTTTTGTATAGAGTAGTAAAAAAGTAGGGGATGAAGTTTTATAACTAAAAACTAAGCCCAGAATTCTTCAAGATATGTTTTATTCTAGCAAATCTAGAATATACTGATACACACACACACACACACACACATACACACACAGAAATAGACAAATATTTATGTCTATCTACATTTAATATAAATTTTTTTCAAAGTCATTGACAATGACACTTTAAGATTCCCAGGTAGTAAATGTATTACCTTCCCTTTTATATCAGACCCATGACAGCAGATAAAATAAAAGGCAGAAGAGTCTAAACTTATTTAATTTTATTTATTTACTTACTATTTGAGATGGAGTTTTGCTCTTGTCGCCCAGGCTAGAGTGCAGTGGCGTGATCTCAGCTCATGCAACCTCCACCTCCCGGCTTCAAGCAATTCTCCTGCCTCAGTCTCCTGAGTAACTGAGACTACAGGTGCCCACCACCATACCTGGCTAATTTTCATGTTTTTAATAGAGATGGGGTTTCACCATGTTGGCCAGGCAGGTCTTGAACTCTTGACCTCAGGTGATCTCGCCTGCCTTGGCCTTCCAAAGTGCTGGCAAAATTATTTAAAAGCATACTAATTTACTACTCTTTGGCTCTCAAGTATTACTAGCAAAAAAGAAAAAGTCTTAAAACTGGTTTTTTATTTTATGTCTCTGATAGATGCAAAGTATATAATTTAGATACTAAGTACAATTTCTGGCCAACATTTAGCTGTAACTTGCTACCTCTCAATTTAAGCTAGGGGTTGGAAAAAAAATCATACCTGATTTAATATTTGTCTGGTATACATATCTTCCAATATTGAGGCCAGCTTTGCTGCAAAAGCCAAAGCATGATCAGCTCGAAATGGGATTTCACAATTGCAGATGATAAACATCTGAGAGAAACACACGTGCTTTGTTTGAAACTGACACGAGCAAAAAAAAATTGCATTAGTCTGGTACCCTTTTGCCCACAACTATTTGGGTTTGGATATATTTTTTAAATTAAACAAATTGAGCTTTTTAGTGTTCCCAAATCATCATGATCCAAATGTCTAATTCTAGTGTGATATTCCTACGGCATTTGCAAGAGGGTTCAACTCCTAATGTTTAGAATTATTTCCGTGGGCTCCATCTGATTGCACACACGTGTCTTTCAGTCTGACCATGCACTCCCCTTATTTCTGGACCATATGCCTTGGGGTTGGCTGTGTGGATGTGAGAAGCCTCTTGTTGCCCGTTGCTTGTGCTGTGTCCAGTCTGATGCACCCCTGCCCTGCTCTGCTGACTTGGCTCGAAGGAGGCCAGCTCTGCCCCTGGTCTGCCTGTCCCCCTCTGCCCTGCCCCCCAATCCCATCTTTGCTGTCTCTGGTGAATCTGTAGAGCATTTCAATTGTCTGTCTGAGTGATGCTGGTTATGCAGATTGCATTTTCATTTCTGTATTGTTATCCTGGTTTATTCTACCTCTTACTAACCTCTGGTTATTGTTTTCGCTTTTTCTGTTCTTTTGCTAACAAAGTTGCGTTGACCAAAGCTGACCTGCAAGGTAGAGAAGGTTCTTGTTCCCATTACCACTTTGGACTGAAAGATGCCCTGTGTAACCCTTGGTATCTTTTCTTTAGAGATCTTCAAGCTGTCACACCTCTTGGACAGCAGCAATTGTGGGGAGGTGGCTGAACCCTGTGTTCTTCTGAAAGGGTGACAGATAACCTAGATGAATGCATGCAAAACAGCTATCAAGAGGATACCTCATGGGGCTAGAAACATGATTCCATTTTGGGGGGTATCAAAGAGGTTTGACAGCATCCAATACTGTGACTACCCACAAACACATTCATTTACTCTGGAAATGATTAATACCTCCAAGTAGTTGCCATGGAGGGGTTGGCTCCTGTTAATTTATTCACCATAGATAGAAGGAAGAACTTGGAAGGAAAAAAAGGCCAATTGATCCCTTAATTTATTTTCTGGGTCAGGGAGGTCATTTCCTAGAGCAGGACATATAAGTGCTTGGGCTTTATGAAAGAGAGTGTCATTTTCTCTTAACTAGTTTTAAAGAAATATCTCTAGGCACTTGGGAGACATTAATGTCATTAAAATGTTTCAGAAATTTCTATTTTCTACTGGGGATATTGATTGAGCTCTTTAATTTCCTGTTTTGTGATCTCAGGGAAAAAGTACTCTTGGGGAAGAAGATGATCTGTCATTTTAATCCTGGATACCCTATAAGACACCTGCATGCAAGATGTTAGTGAATATCTATTGCAGAAACTGGTTCTTCTACTATTCAAAGAGGCATCTTACAAAGTAGTAACGGCTCACTGGTCCTATGGTGCCAGGCTGCTATGACTCGGAATAACAAAGGAGGAACAAGCATTTTAGGTGTATTTTGGTTGATTGTCAGGCAGGAGACTGAGCCTCATGACCTCTGTAGAGTTTGCAATCAGCCCAAATTGTTAGAAGTGGTTAAGGCAAAGGTAACTTTCAAAAAAATTACTTTTCATCTAAAATGATCATTGACTTCGCTGTGACTTACTTGTTATACGCCATGTAGCTAACCAGTACAAATGTCTGTCTCTCCAGAAGACGTCCCCCGATAAAGCCAAGACTCTCTCACTGTTTTACCATAACTTTGTTTTTCTTTATCACCTCTTAGCAGAGTCACATATACTTTAAAATATATTAAAATTAAATAAAATAATATACACTAATTAAGACAAAGTCAGAGGAAGCTTTACGATAACTTTTAATTTCAAAGCATATAGGGCCCTGGTGGCAATATTGTTGTTTTTGGCCATTATGTTTAATTGTCAACAAAGATCCACTATATATTACTCTGTAAAGGGAAGGGAAAGAGAAGAGGGCAGGATTTGATTTGCAATACAAGACACCCAGGAGGGCGAAGCTCCTTCCGACCAGATTTAGCAGATTAAGCCAGACGACCACATCTCCTCCCTGCCTTTACTATTCCCCACGGTAAGAGCTATATAGATTTTGAAGCCGCAGAGAGAATCCATACGTGGCAAAATAATCTGAAAGTTCTCATCCGAAGGAATAACGGCTTGTAGGGAGAAATGAGTGTTGATTTTCATGCTGAAAGTAAATTGTTTACCAAAAAGTAGATAAAGTTTTACGGACCAGTAGTTTGAAATATCGTGATTTTTCCTTTAGTGGAAGCAGTCTGGTCATCAGTATGGTTTTAACATTATTACTCCATTTGCACAGACTTTCTTCCATTCTTGTAATGACTTGACAGCCTCTTCATTTGTGGCAGGAGCTGCTGTTCTTTTTCATGATTTTGGGTCATCTTATTCTTTTCCCTGTTTTATAGGAAAAGTTTGAGGTTTTTTTGTCTCCTAAGACTGGGAGATGGACTATTACTCACAAGCTGGCTTTTTCAGCTATAACCTGTGAGTACAGATAGTCCTAATTACCATGAAGTATGAAGGGTGGTGAAGACAGATGACAAGGAAATGAGGTAGTCTGAAGCATAGACAGAAATGCGTTCGGAAGAAAATATAACAATGAGGTATAAGAAGTGAAGAAAGGAGTCTAGGTGAGTCAACAGCTGAAGTCTTCTTGTTCTTGTGTGTAGTGTTTTGTTTCTTCTTTAGAATTTTTAACTTCTCCAGTGAGGGTGCTGTTTATCCCATCTGCAGTATCCTAGTGTTCCTAGTACCCAGTCCCTGATGCACAGGCATAAGTGCAGCTATGCCTGTGTATCTTCCTATATTAGGTGATTCCCTGAAAGATTCCCTGAAGTCCTATTCATGGAAGAAGGGAACTGAAGATCTATAAAAGAAATATTCAGATTGACCTGTTGGTTGTGAGGCAGATGACATAAACGATGAGAAATAAGAAAATAAGTCTTTATTGTATTAGGTGATTAATTAGAATATTCCTATTCCACTTTTAATTATAGCTTCTCTTAACAGGTTTTATTTCTGCAGTTTAATGGCTTTTTTTCCCCGAGAAATATAAGGTACCCCTCTGCCCAGATGGTGAACAGGTAGTTAAGGGATTCAGGATCCATTGGATCTGGGTGCTAAGGGCTGGCAAATTTGGGAAAGTCAATCAATGTATTGGGTTCAGATGCCTTGGAAATCTCAAGATTCTTTAAAGGCATTTTAGAACAGAGTTAGAATTATCCAAACACCTTTAGTAGGTAAAGAAACTTTTAATTCCCCAACTGTCTTTACTGTTGTTAAATCCCCAACAATACTGAATATTGTCCTCAGCCTCATTTTCTCCCAAGCTAAAGATTGTATCATATTCTTCATTTTATTTTGTGTTATAAAATATAGTAGCTGATGTAATGTAAGTTCTTCAAAATGATTTTTTTATGGAAAATAATAAGAGACAGAAATAACAGAGGGAAAGTGCCTTCTTATGCTAGTGTTGTGAGCTTTAGGAAAAAAATTACATTTCAAGGACCTACAAATAATCAAGGGCACTCTGTCACCTTTTTATTTTCTAGGACATGAAGAGGAATTGACTAAATCAGTGTATATTTGCTGCAAAGGTGGATTTGAGAGGTAGCAGGCATAAAATGATTGTATGGGACAATTCTTAATGAGAAGAACAATTCTTAACATTCAAGAAAAATGATAGGAAATGTGTGGCAGCTGTCACAGTTATCTGAGAAATAAGAGAATGAGATGAAATTCCATGTTTTTAAGCGAACTAAAAGCAGAGATAGAAATTAGAAACCAAAGTACTAATGCCATTGACATCTTATTTAGTATTTCCAGACACTTTTCTGTTGTCTTGTCACTTTCTGTAGTATACAAAGAAAGTCACCATCTTTTATCAAAAGAATATGTCACTATTTTAGTGAGAGTTAATCACACATCAAGACCAAAAGTAATTTATACCATTCTTATACAGGAGCTTCCTAAGGCCTTTCGATGTTTTAAGATATTAATAATTAATAATGATCATGATAAAGACTTCATAAATATGTAATTATAAACATTTGTGCTATTTTAGAATGTCTGGAATTATATGTTGATTTGGAAGAGTGTTTTAGGAAAAATTATGATTATTAAGTCCCTAGGATTGTCTCTTATGCTTATAAACATATATATTTGATACAGATTTCTGTTCATAAAATTGTACAAAAGTATATCTTCCTGTTTATTTTTAATTGAATTGAAATGGTATTTGAAAATTTTCTTGTAGAAAAACGAAAATGTAAAGGAATTTTTACATCAAGATGTCATCTTTTCCCAGTTGTAGGTCAGAAATACCTTACGTTACTCTTACTAGTCCAGTGACGCTACACATTCACATTCCTTACTCTGGGTTACCCACATCCATAAGAGGTTAGGTGAGTGGGCTGCATAATTAGCAACCTTTAGTTTGAAACCTCACCCTCTCACTTCCACCTATGGAATTTGGGGAAAATTACCTAACTTTTCTGTGCCTCAGTTTACTTTTCTGAAATCTTTGCATTTTAATTCAATCAGCAGTTTAAAAATTATTTAAATTTGGGCCAGGTACAGTGGCTCATGCCTATAATCCCAGCACTTTGGGAGGCCGAGGTGGGTGGATCACGAGGTCAAGAGATCGAGACCATCCTCGTCAACATGGTGAAACCCCATCTCTACTAAAAATACAAAAAATTAGCTGGGCATGGTGGCGCATGCCTGTAATCCCAGCTACTCAGGAGGCTAAGGCAGGAGAATTGCCTGATCCCAGGAGGCAGAGGTTGCAGTGAGCCAAGATCACACCATTGCACTCCAGCCTAGGTAACAAGAGCTAAACTCCGTCTCAAAAAAAAAAAATTATTTAAATTTGAAATTATGGATATCTCCTATGAGAAAATGAATTGTTTCTCTGATTCTTTAATACTTTTAATTATATTTGCTTCATTATGTGCTTATGAAGATAAATTAATATCTTAAAAGATTTAATATACCATCTGGCTCATAATAAGTGCTATGTAAGCTGTATTATTGTTATATCCTCTTTCTGATTTGTACAAGATTATTTTTTATCAATAGATGTTCAGTGGGAAGCACTGTTGAAGCTTTTGGTTTTTTTCCCCCAAGACATGTTGTTTCTAATTTTTTTTTTGACACACTGCTATGTGAAATGCATACATTAAATACATTGACATAAAATAGCTTCTGTTTAGGAAAGGATATACTTAAATAGGTTGAAGTAAGAATAAGAGCTTATAAAATGATCATCCAGAAATTGCTGTAGAGTCTAACCCAGACTCTCATTCATTCAACAGTTATTACATACTGTACCTGGGCTTGGGAATACTAAGGAGGTCTTGTCAACATCTGGTGAGATTGAATGTGACTAATAGTTAAATCAGAGGATACATGGCCAATTAAATCCCGCCACCCCACCCACCCTAAGAAAATAATATAAATTTTATTACAAAAACTGTTTTTACAGTTTCAAGTAAGAGATTACTTATGTGAGCTCTTATTGATAAATTATAGAGATAAATTGTTACAAGAACCATTTTGCTTTAAATTTTAAATGAATGGCTTAATTTCTTTCTTTTTTTGTTATTTAATTCTTTTATTC